ACAAAACCTAAACATATATATGGTTCGGGATATCAACAACATATTGAAAATTCAAAGTAGAAGATAATACAATACACCTACTTGCTCTAGCAGCGGTAGGAAAGCACACAATCGGTAAAGGCACAAGTAAGCCTAGATACTAGCAAGCCCACTATACTCATGGTATAGGGTATGCTAAAAAAAAGGTAAGTAAGATAAATGCAATCCCAACTCATAATAAAGGATATGCACAAAAGGTAAAAGATAAAAGGTCTACACTTGGTAGAAGGAAAGATAAAAGAGATCCTAACTGTAATACCCAAACTGTACTATTGACGTGTTCCAATTCTTTACTCACGACAAGAACAGTAAAGGACAGATTTTTAGGACTCTATGATCAAGATAAAGATAAGATATATATTCATAAGATATAGATAAGAAATAAACTTATCCAGGTAAAGGTAAAGATAATTAACTTCAGGTAAAGGTACGAGATAAACTCAATTAAGGTAAAGATACAGATACGCTCAAGGTAAAGGTACGAGATAAACTCAGTCAAGGTACGAGATAAACTCAGGCAAGGTACAAGATAAACTCCATTACAGGTATGAGATAAACTCCATCAAGGTAAAGATAAATTCAATTAAGATACAGATAAAGATAACTCACATCTACCAATCCGTATGAATGGTAGGGAGACAGGTAAACAAACTGTATACAATAAGATATGTTAAAAAAAATCAAATACTTTCAAAGATAATAGCATAGTAGATTACCTCCAAGTTAAACAGACTTACTTACTGCTGAATATCAGAACGATCCAATTTTAAATGACACATTCTAATTTCAACCTAAGAGACACTCAAGGAACAACTAATATGTATTGATATATTTCTGAGCCAGGTGAGGGCACACATCCAGGGTGATCAATCCTGAACCCACGCTAAAACACCGACACAGTAAGTGAATGTGAATGCATAAGCTTTATGGTCATGATCCACAAAACCATACAACACTAATAAAGAAAATATTTGGAATGTTTTCCTAATTATCCCTGTAAATATCTATTCAACTCAGAACTCAAGATGGGGAAATTCCCATATATCCATCCTGTACTCCTATGATATGCAGTTGGACTTTTGAGAGAAAACAAACAACAAAATTAGCAAGTCCATAAACCAAGATAATAACCAACATTAAGATAAGATAAAAAAAATAGAAGGCACAATAGCACAACATCTTATGGTTTTTTGCCAGGTAAACAAAGTAGATAAACAGATCTTAAGCAACCAAACTGGTACAGAAGTGATAAGGCACCAATGAGATCTAACGATATAAGTTGAAATGGAAAATCAATCCGTCGATAACTACCCATTAAACCTGGTTGGGGAAGATTTGTCGGTTTGCATGTATCACAGATTTGCATTAAGCGATATAGCTACGTACAGTTTGACGCATCTTCGGCCAGTAATAAAGTTCAGATATTCGACGGAAAGTTTTTGTAGAAACCAAAATGAGCTGCAGTAGGATGGTCATGAAAAGTGGCCAAAACCTCTGCTCTATTAGGAGTTGGAACGACTATCTTCCAATCCGACATTCCAGTAAGGGAATCTATGGAACTTAAGACATGTTTATACAAAACACCATGTTCAACGTTAAAATCGGGATATTTACCTGGTACATTCTGTACAACATTTTTTAACAATGGACTAGTTAGATGACGGACTCTCAACTCATACTCTAATTCAGGAGCTAACAGATGCTCTACCTTAAACGCAGACATATTACACAACTGAGAAATATACAAGAGAATGAGTAAAAGTAGGTAAAGTTTAACTTACTCTCTGACTCCAAATTAATATTCTGAAGGGATACCAATACCAGTAATGTTTAATTGTTTTGGTCCAGTTATGAAATCCAATGACATATACTGCTACAACACCCTAAGGAACCTAAAATTTCAAAACTGTTATTTCGAGGTAGTGACTCAACTTATTGGCTACTCCGGACTTGTAAAATATGTGAAATAGTTAACTTTAGTTCTTTAAATTTTTAATTAATTTATTATTAATCTAAAATTGTTATTTAATCAATCAAAAACAAAGCAATTTATTCAGTCTACACAGTATATAGCAAAACAAGTCGATTTAAGATATAGATATAGGGTAATGTCCAAAAAAAAAAAATTGAAAAAAAAAACAAAACAAAAAGTTAAAATGAAAATCTAAAAGCACAACCAGTGAAAACCACAACAACCCAAGATCGAAATCAAAAGTTAAAGGAGATATATATACATATATATACACATATATACACATACATACACACATATATACACATATATACATACATATATACACACATATATACACATATATATACACACACATATATATTTTTTTTTAAAGGCAGAAGTGGAAAAGAAGCCCCACGTTGGGCGCCAATTGAAACGCTCAATACTCCGGGAGTATTGGGTTTTTGGGAATTGTAGAACTTCCAAATTTCAGAAGAACTGAAAGAGAAGTGATGAAAAAAAAAAATACTAAAAATAGGGCTAAGCTCAGAGGAACAAATTTAAATGGCCAAAGAGACACTAAATCTCAAGTGAGTGTTCGGGCTAGCTTCAATGCACTGGATTGTGGCTTTAAAGATATAAACAACAATAACAAGAGATAATGAGCTAATGAGACAAGAAAGAAATGAGACCTGGTAATATCAAACGTGATACAACTGAAGAAAGTCACTGGGAATAAATTTATAGAAAGAGAACAATAAGAAGAGAAAAGAAGGGCGCCAACTCAACGATAGTTGAGATTTTGAAGTAACAAATGAATCTGGAGATAATACTCTGAAATACAAAAATACTAAATAATAATCTTGTTTTGCTATGTTATATACTGGTTAGTAGAACTGAAATAAAACTCAAAATAGCAACAATAAATATATTTATAAAAAATGTATATAGGTATATGTGTATAAACAATTTACATATAATGCAAAGCCAAATAACAGTGGTAGTGGATGGTGTACAGATACAATGGGACCTAATAGCCCCTCAACAAACGAATAGTCACTACCACTGGCCAAATAAAATATGAAATATTAGTATAAACCAAGAATAGTCCGTAGGGTAGCCTAAGTCTTAAAACAAAAGGGTAGTCATTTAAATTTAAATTAGTTCTACTAAAATGAGGTACTAATGACAATATTGTAAAGATATCAAACTCGATAAATCTATATTACAATTATATTAAATATATATTACATCCAAAAAATGAGTTGTTCCATACTCATTATATCATATTAAAAAAAAAAACATTAAATTTATTTCCCTCCCAATATTAAATTGTATCATATCCAATGTATTGTATTAAAAAAAATATATATATTAAATCAACAAGTGAGTTCGGTCAGACTCTTGAAATCCTAACTAAAACCTAATTACACATGAAGTGTCCCTTTTTCCTCCCCGAATATTTTATAATTAAATTATCAAAAAAAAATTATCATAAAGGTATTTACCTTATCATATGCATATGTAAAGTTAACAGTAAATAGAAAGTAATACGTAATACAAAAAGTCAAATAGTTAAACAACTTATCTTTACAGCACTATAAGTCCATAGGAAAAACTCCTCTTGGCGCGGCTACATCAGTTTATGGCTGTAAAGACAAATCCTGGTCACAAAACCACAACCAGTCACTGGTCTCTGGGTGACAGCAAAATCCACGGGTTACATAAAGTTGCTAACTAGTTTAAGGATTCAGTTACTTGAATCCTTGAGGGAATATTCTCAAGAGAATATCCTCAAGTAAAGTGAAATTAATATTTTCACGTGACGGAATATGGAGCTGCAGCACGCCAATAAAAACTCTTCCTTTTTATGTGGAACTCATAAATATTGATTTTATTATACAAATTACTTATTATTATTTAGATATGTATTTTATTTATAAATTAATTTATTCTTCCCCAAATTATCTTCCTTGCTCCAATTCCGTCACTTTGAAGGTGAAAAATTTCACCGGTTTGACATGGCTGCGTGTGAGTTCTGACCAAAACTAACCGCTTCGCTTCCGCACAAAATCGATCTTCCTTTCAAAGCGATAACAGCGCGTGTGGGGGAAAATATCGATTTAAAATCGATCGTAGGCGGGTAATAAAAATTTCTAAAGGGGTTAATCAGTAGCGTAAACGCTACAATATCTTTAAAATAATAAACAACTCTGAAATGGTTTTATTAATATCCAGCAATGCAAATACAATTATTGAAACCACTTTTGCGTATTTTAACTTAAAAGATACGAACTAACAAACACGGAAAAAATTCTTCGTTTTATTTTTTTATTTAAACATATATAACGAGATTTCAATATATTTCATATACGAGGGGATTTCAATATACTTCAAAGAATCAATGAAATTGAAAATGCTACAGCATTAGGCAACCTATGTTACTCTTTGTCGTATGGAAGGTGGTCTAAAAGTGTAATTTGTGTTAGACTGGCTTAGATATATGAAATTGTCCTTTTATGTTTGTCACATCTAGGATAAATTAAAACTGAATAGTAAATATTTGAAGTTAATATAAGACCTCGTATTTAAGCGACATTGTTTAAGACTGCTCGTAAGGTGAAAAAGTTAATAAAAGTAAGTCTAATAAATTGAAAAAGGGGTTAGAAATCTACCGGCTGAAGAAATTAAAGTTATAACCTATGGTATTAACTATATAATATAGACTAAAAATGTTTTTATTATCAACCTTAGTGACGCAAACAGATTTTTTTGCCTTTTTCGGTGTTTTAATATATACGGGATAAAACGAAAATGCTACAAAATAACTGCTTATCTTATCAACAATGTCTGTTAGATCCTTGGTGAAATCTTAAGGGGTTGCTTTTGTTAGTATGTTGTTATAGATTGTTATAGAATAACATGATTTGCCGAAATAGAGGCCGTAAATTATTTATCTGGTTAATTTAATTGATCATAAATAAAATAATAAGTTGTTTTTCTTTAGATTTATATTAGCTATATAGACGTCATGGCGACCAAACAGGAGAGACTGCAAGAGCTCGAACAAGCCTACTATTTCCTTTGTCGATGTGTGAAGTGTATTAATCCAGAACCGATAATTGAAATGACAGGAGTCGCCTGTCCAAACTCGGATTGTAACAATTGTATTGATAGTTTTACTATAAAACCAGATGACGAATGTTCAGCATGTGGGACTATCATCAGTGAAGAGTTTATACAATTATTTCAAGATGTGATGGATATGACTTGCATGCATCTAGAAAATATGAAAGAAACTACATGTATCCTTTAGTACGTATTGTAGTCGTAAGCACTAGAGATAAGATTTACAATTATACTTTATTTAGATTAATTATTTACTTCAGGGATCTCAATAGATGTTTAAAATTTACAAGTTAGTTTACAATTTCCATTACTTAAAATATTTCAAATGGTTAGAATTTTGATTACTTTGTTAATTGCTGTTAATGCTTGTTTACTGGACATTATTGAAAATTTTAATATATCTTCTTACATTTTTTCCATATTCTTCCACCTAAAATTTGATTATAGCGTGTATTTCCTCGTCTTTCTTTATCTTAGATACTCCACAGTTACATATTTCTTCATTTTCTTTTATACTGTACTGCTTTCTTTTACATTGTTCTTTTTAAACATAATTCATATTCGTACATATATCCTTATTATCACTTATATCTCATATTCATGTATCACTCATATATCTAGTTATTCATTTAATTTGTCTAATCTCCGTAAGCTAACATTTGTAACGAAAGTATTTTGCCTACCACATGGGGTATTACTATGGGGGCTGAAAATAGGGGACAGAAACTACTGGGATGGAGATAGGGCAAGCAAAATAATCGAAACATATGCGAACGGCACTCAGGGTTTGTTATGAGGGCTGTGGTCGTGGATAAGTAAATGGCAAAGGGGTTGGATTGGGGCAACTACAAAAATATGAAACAAAGAGTCATGAATCTCTTGGGACAAATAAAACAAAACACAGAAAGAAAACAGGAAATACCTCTAGTAATTTAAAAAGGACGCCACTTCGAGGTGCTTAATTATAACCATTACAACAGCTAGTTGTAACTAATGAAATAATTATTAGAAATGCAAAATATATCTTTTTCAAACGAGACTCAAAAAAGGTTAGTTAAAAAATAAACAAAATGTTAAGAAATCGAGAATCAAGAATACTCAATACCCCAATAGTCGCATAATACAAAAATACAAATAAATTTACGTGTTATCCGTTTACATACTCTAAGAGTTGGAGATACTACAAAAACCTACAAATGTTACCGCACAGAGGTTAACCTTTTTTTAAAACAAACAAAACAATTTAATATCGAAAATAATAAAACGAGCTGTCCTATGTTAACATTAAATTTAAAACAGAAAAATGAATGAATTTGTTTATTAATTTTATTATTTGTTTATTAATCTGTTTATTAATGAATTTGTTTATTGTGAATTTGTTATTTTATCTTATAAAAAAGCGATATCCTTATCGCGATATAGGATTGTTGAGTCATCCTGAAACCTCAATACTCCGGGAGTATTGGATTTTAGGAAGTGTAAGACTTCCAAATTCCAGAAGAACTGGAAGAGAGGTGATGAAAATACTAAAAATAGGGCTAAGCTCAGAGGAACAAAGTTAAATGGCCAAAGAGACACTTAATCTCAAGTGAGTGTTCGGGCTAGCTTCAATGCACTGGATTGTGGCTTTAAAGATATAAACAACAATAACAAGAGATAATGAGCTAATGAGACAAGAAAGAAATGAGACCTGGTAATATCAAACGTGATACAACTGAAGAAGGTCACTGGGAATAAATTTATAGAAATAGAACAATAAGAAGAGAAAAGAAGGGCGCCAACTCAACGATAGTTGAGATTTTGAAGTAACAAATGAATCTGGAGATAATACTCTGAAATACAAAAATACTAAATAATAATCTTGTTTTGCTATGTTATATACTGGTTAGTAGAACTGAAATAAAACTCAAAATAGCAACAATAAATATATTTATAAAAAATGTATATAGGTATATGTGTATAAACAATTTACATATAATGCAAAGCCAAATAACAGTGGTAGTGGATGGTGTACAGATACAATGGGACCTAATAGCCCCTCAACAAATGAATAGTCACTACCACTGGCCAAATAAAATATGAAATATTAGTATAAACCAAGAATAGTCCGTAGGGTAGCCTAAGTCTTAACACTAAGGTTAGTAATTTAGATTTAAATAGTTCTACTAAAATGAGAAATAATTACCGTATTGTACAGATATCAACAATGATAACTCTGTTACAATTATATTACCTCAAAAGTGAGTTCCCAATACTCATTATATATATTTAAAAAAACCACATTAAATTTATGTCCCTCCCTCAATATCAAATTGTATTATATTAACAAAAATATTATATCAAAAAAAGTGAGTTTGGTCAGACTCTGTATATCCTATTTAAAAACCCAATAAAAATATGTAATGTATTTACTTCTCCCCAATATTTTAGAATTAGATTATATCAAAAATTAAATTATCACAAAGGTATTCACCTTATCATATGCATATGATGAGTTAACAGTAAATAGATAGTAACAAAAAAAATTATACAGTCAAGCAACTTATCTTTACAGCCCCATAAGTCCATAGGAAAATTCCTCTTGGCACGGTTACATCAGTTTGTGGCTGTAAAGACGAATCCTGGGCACAAAGCCACAACCAGTCACTGGTCTCTGGGTGACAGCAAAATCCACGGGTTACATACACAAGTTGCTAACTATGTATCTAAGAATTCAAAGTTAACAGTATCCTTGAGGGAATATTCTCAAGAGAATACTCTCAAGTGAAGTGACGGAATCTAAAAATGATTATTTAATTTAACAAATATAATTTAATAGGTGTAGCAGCATGGATTGACTGCACCAAAACAAAACATCAAAACATTAGGTTATGTCAACATGTCAGAATTTCCGAAGTTTATTTCGTAGACATGACAGCCTTGCGCCATGAAATGAACACGCGCAGAACACAGAAGGCTGTAGAAACCTTGTATATTCCACCAAAAAAAGTTAGAGAAAAAAAAACCAAAAAACTTAATGATAACGACATGGACTAAAACAGAATTTAAGTTTAACTATATAAAAAAAATGACCTTCTGTTCTTTGCAAGTAAATCAAGGAAATTTTATATTTAAATTATTTCGGAACTCAAAAATAAATCTCTAAAGAAATACTAAATACAATGATAAATTTGATTATATGATAAAGAGATAATACGTATGAAATGATTTACTTACATGGAGCCGCAGCACGCCAAAAAAAACTCTTCCTTTTTATATGGAACTCTTAGATTAGTATTGATTTTATTAGAAAAATTACTTATTTATATTATTATTTATGAACTATATTCTTCCCCAAATTATCTTCCTTGCTCCAATTCCGTCACTTTGAAGGTGAAAAAATTTCACCGGTTGACGTGGCTGCGTATGAGTTCTGACCAAAACTGACCGCTTCGCTTCCGCACAAAATCGATCAATCTTCCTTTTTAAGCGACTACTGCGCTTGTGTGGAGAAATGTCGATTTAAAAATCGATCACAGGCGGGTTATAAGAAAATTTCTTGAGGGGTTTAAATTGGACTAGTCAGTAGCGTAAACGCTACATTCTCCCTCATCTCCAGCAAAAAAAAGGAACTTTTTTTTTGTGGCAGAACGATCTAACGCTGGGTCGACAATGAACGTTGATACGTTAAAATTGAACATTTTCCTCACCAGTCAACCATTTGCTCAGGAATTGGAACAAAATCAAGGACGAAATAAAAATATGGAACGAAGAATATGAGACGAAGTCATACATTTTTTTTTAATGAGATAATGTATGTTAATTTAGTATAAACCAAAGATAAAAAAAAGTATACATTTTAAGTTAAATTCTATAACCTTACAGACCAAGTTAACTTTTAACACTACTTATCTACATTCTCAAGTATTTGTAAAAACAACCATTCGTTAAAACTACATTATAGGTGTGTATTAACAACCCCTAACACAATTTTCCCAAGAACCATTCATTCCAACGAAATTCACACAAAATCCTATGAACTTTACACAGCGTTGACACTAGAGCGACCAGATTCTATTCGTCACCATAGAGTTCAATGAGGGCCTAATTACTCAGGACTAGTTGAAACTACAAACCTAAACATATATATGGTTCGGGATATCAACAACATATTGAAAATTCAAAGTAAAAGATAATACGATACACCTACTTGCTTTAGCAGCGGTAGGAAAACACACAATCGGTGAAGGTTGCTAGTGCCTTAGATACTAGCAAGCCCACTATACTCATGGTATAGGGTATGCTAAAAAAAAGGTAAGTAAGATAAATGCAATCCCAACTCATAGTATAGGATATGCACAAAAGGTAAAAGATAATTGCAAGTCCAGATCTACTCATGGTAGAGGATATGCACAAAACTCACTTCTACCCGCTATACACTTGGTAGAAGGAAAGACAAAAGAGATCCTAACTGTAATACCTAAACTGTACTATTGACGTGTTCCAATTCTTTACTCACGACAAGAACAGTAAAGGACAGATTTTTAGGACTCTATAATCAAGATAAAGATAAGATATATACATTCATAAGATATAAATAAGAAATAACTTATCCAGGTAAAGGTAAAGATAACTAACTTAAGGTAAAGGTACGAGATAAACCAATTAAGGTAAAGATAAAGATACACTCAAGGTAAAGGTACGAGATAAACTCAGTCAAGGTACAAGATAAACTCCATTACAGTTATGAGATAAACTCCATAAAGGTAAAGATAAACTCAATTAAGATACAGATAAGGATAACTCACATCTACCAGTCCGTATGAATAGTAGAGAGACAGGTAAACAAACAGTATACAATAAGATATGTTAAAACTCAAATACTTTGAGAAGGTAATAACATAGGAGATAACAAACCAAGTTAAACAGACTTACATACTGCTGAATATCAGAACGATCCAATTCTAAATGACACATTCTAATTTCAACCTAAGAGACACTCAAGGAACAACTAATATGTATTGATATATTTCTGAGCCAAGTGAGGGCACACATCCAGGGTGATCAATCCTGAACCCACGCTAAAACACCGACACAGTAAGTGAATATGAATGCATAAGCTTTATGGCCATAGTCTTCGTACGAGCCTATGCAAACATCAATAAAAGAAAATGTTAAAGTGTTTCCTAATTATCTC